TTTTTTTTTTTTTACCATTTACTGTTTTATTTTATTTTATTTTAGATAAAGTTTATTTCAATATTTTTAATTAGTTTATTTTTTTCTTTGTAATATTTTCTTTTTCATTTTTGGAATTTCTATTTTATTATTTTATTATAATTCTTGCCCTGGCAACTAGCTGAACTAAATATATATATATATATATATAAATTATTTTAGTTAAAGTTTATTTTATTTTAATATTCATTTATTTTAATGTTTTCCTTTTACAGTTTTAGTAGTTCTGATGCATGTTTGTCATTTTTAATGATTTTTTAAAAATTTGTTTTGTCTATAGTTTTCTTCTATTTATCTGTAGTTTTTTTTATTGCTTTTTATTATTGTTTATTTATTTATTTTTATTGTGGTTTATTATGGTTGTTTTAGTATATTAAGTTAAAGTAAATGAAAATTAGAAATGTTGCCTTGACATCTAGCCGAAATAAAATATATAAAATGTTTTAATATATGTTTCTGCTAAAGTTTTTCATACTTTGAATTATTTTATTTTTATATCTAAAATAATCAAGTTAAATGAAAATTAGAAATGTTGCTTTGACAACTAGCTGAATAAAATTGTGTTTTTATTATGTGTTTTTAAAAAAAACATTTTTTTTTAAATAAAAGTGTTTTTTTTTTATGGTTTTAGTTTTAGCTAACTATAATAACCCAGCATGCAGTACAAGCAAAGCTGCCTGATATCATACAAACAGCTGACAATTAAGTCATGATATCTGAACTTGATTTGATAGATTCCACTGTGAATAAAGCTATAAACTCCAGCTGTCCAGCTCCATATGTCATACTGACCTTGTGTTTGTGTTGCAGTCAAGCATGAACATGTTTCTGGGTCCGCGGGCGTCTCCGGAGCCTCTGGACATCATCCTGCTGTCAGCCTTTGAGTTTGACCTGCATCAGGTGATCAAAGACTGCAGTTGCGTTAACACTCTCTCAGTACAGACACACATTCAGAAGAAGAGTCTGAATCCTCCAAACTAACACAGACGTTTGATGTCTCTGCAGCATCGCGCTCAATAACTGGTGGTTCGTGGCTCATCTGACAGACCTGCTGGATCACTGCAAACTCCTGCAGTCGCACAACCTCCAGTGCGTATCTCACATCAGATCAAGCGTTCAGATCTGACAGACTAATGATTGTACACTTATGTCAGTCAAGATTTCTTGCCCATGAAAAAAATCATATTTTAGTGTTTTAGGACCATTTTCCATTCATATATGTAAATGAGCTAAACCTACAGATTCACGTGGCTCTTTGAGAAGGTTTTGGTTGATGTGATGCTCATAACTCCGTTCTGGTTTTGTGTTTTTGTAGTTTTGGGTCTAATCTGCGTGAGTTTCTGGTTTTAGAGTATGCCTCGGGTCTCTTCACGCATCACAGGTGATTGAAAACCATTATTTATCTCTGCAGACTGAGGACTAAAGTGTTCAATCTCATGAAAACAAGTCTAGATCACACTTTACCCTAAAAGAAAAATAAGAAATTATATTTTCCAAAAAAATAGTTTTATCAAGTTATATAGTAACTTTCATGACAGTAAATTTCCCCATCATTGTAAAGCATTATTTTCTCCAATATATCAATATGTAATAATCATTTTATGCAAAATATAAATACTTATAAAATAATTACAATTTATTTAAAATATTAAATTTTTATACAAGTATTAATTAATATATTCAGCAATATTTTCATATTCAATTATATATTTTAAATTTAATAATTTTAGATATATTTCATATATAATAAACATTAATACAAATTTGTTAATGTATTATTTAACTTAATTATTTAAAAAAAATATAATTACATAATATATAATAATTTAAATTATTTTCTTAATTTATATTTTGCATATATATATATATATATATATATATATATATACACATACAGTGGTGTGAAAAAGTGTTGGCCCCCTTTCTGATTTCTTTTGCAT